AAAAGAATAAATGTACCTATGATAAAATCTGTGCGATTTGCCTTGTATGAATCTATATATGGGTACTATAAAATGACAAAAAGTTTCGTGAATAATTGAATGAAAACCACAAGTGAAATAGTTCAAAAGAATATAGTTTTTTATTTTTCGTTTTTAGCGGGTGGTTAACTCATAATTTAACATTTATATACATACATTGTATACCTACATACATAGTTGCATGTCTAAAAACCATTTTATTGCATCAAGGTCGTAGTTGCAATTTATTTTCTTATCTATGTAAGTACGTTTATTTTCTAACATTATGTAATTGTCATGGCTGAGATCAACAACATTGTTGAGTACCTAATTGTTCATAAAGGTTGAGGTATAAGTGGATGGGCACACGCTATATCTTAAGGAACAAGTGGACAAATTATACTGCTGTGAATGTACTGAGAAAAGCTCTACTAGTTTCGAACCACAGAGGGGTTCTTCCTCATGAGCAGCGTGCGCGGTCGCGGCGATGTCGCGCAGCTCACTGGCTGGCGTTGGCGCTCGTATATTCTCGTGAGTAACCCGCGTTTTTACTTAATTTAGTATGTTAGTACCTACTGAAGATTTTAGTCGATTTTAACCATCACACTAAATTATAAATGTGATAGTTTCTTTGTTTGGATATTTCAATGTTTGTTCGTCGATAATGCTGGAACTAGTGAATTGATTTTGATGAAGTTTGGTATACTGGCAGGGTATAAGGCTGACTTCGGTGATAAGATGTCAGGTTTCTATCCCGATTAAAAGGTTCCCATGGGATAAAATAGGAATAGTATTCTACACGGGCGAAGGTGTCGGCAACAGCTATTAAATAAATTGTGATAATTTAATTTTCAGATAACGGAGGAATAATTTTAGATATTTGACAATTCGTCTATACGAAAAACTGTCAAATATCAATTATATTCTGAAATTAAGTATTATCTGGATTTAAAAATTGCCCCAAAATAAAAACAGTATAGAATACTGGAACATAAAATACCGAAAGAAGTGTTAACTCGATGATAGTATTAAATGAAATAACATTTTACTAAAAATACAATACAATAAAATATGTTATTTAGTAATGTGTATTTAATTTTAACAACATCACTATTTTATTAATCCGCTACAAAATACAATATGCAAATAACATCATAATTGTGTAATACCGTGAATGAATAACAAAAAAGCAACACATTTATAAAAATGTAAACTGTCAACTAAAGCGGCTTATGATGACAAAATATTAAAAAAAAAAAACATGAACATGAACGAAATTAGACAATGTTTGCACGAATCAGGTCAAGTTCATGCATTAAAATGTCTGCCGTATCAAGACATGCTCATAAAGATTACGCATCCAGCTGTACATAACCAATTTATTATGAGCTCACTACGTATGATCTATTCGCACATTCGACGGTTAGTTTATACTGGTTTTGTACTGCTTGATGTGTCCGTATGACATGCCCATAAAGGTTTGTACTTCGTGTGATGAAACCCACAGATATGTAGGATTTACCTGTAATATACGTGTTTCCGTACATTGCACGTTTGTAATCAATGGCCCACGAGAACTTAAGGGGATGTTGCCTTTGCGCTTTTAATTTTATTTGCGCGATTCCTTTTGATTTGATTATTTTATTGCTTAAACTGTCAAACACCAAGCGGTCACCGGTGACCGCAACCTATTGTTCTATAATTGTGTCTACAAAACCGGTACTCGACGAGTTAAAATAGATATTTTCAGACATTTGTAAAGATTTGTAAGTATATACTAATTATTAGTAAGTTATTTTTATTTTAGATAAATTTTATTTGAGGAATAACTTTTATTATTCTAAAATTCTTTCACACTATAAACTGTCAACTGTTTTATTCTTCAGTTAAGTACAAACTGGTGGTTGAAAAATTGGCCCCAATAGGTACCTACTATTATTTAACTTGGTGCTTACTGTAAAGTGGTGCTTGGGTAATACTAATAGTGTACAACTTAGGAGAAATCGTGCATCTTATGTTAACCCGTCGTGTGTCTAAACGTGGATCCACGCGAGACAGAATGTATTTACTATTGTGTCTTTTATCGGTGCGTTCAAGATGCTAAAACTAGACTCTGTCCAGATTATGTAATTTTTAAAGGGGCCGATTTTTCAATCAACACATTACTTTCTGTAGAATAAAATGGAAAAATTTGACAGTTTTTAGTATTTAAGGAATTGTCAGATTCAAAATTTTTCCTTCGATAAAAATTTTCTGGCGTTGACAAAGTCGACCCTTAAATATAATTAATTCTAATATTTTGAACATATTGATAAGTTTCAATAATTATAATTATTACATGTAGTTGAGGATGACTGCCTCGATTTCTAGATGGTGTAAAGTATTAATAGGTTTAAAAAAAAACTGTAATATGTAGTGTGTAGTGGAATTATGCCCGGTATATGGTAATAGGCTCACACCCTATTATATGGGACTCATAAGATAAAATAGTGAAAAATGGGTGTTTCACTGTGGCATTAAGTGCCCTAATGAGCACCTCTGCCTACCACTTCGGGAATAAATGGCGTGCTGTTAAAAAATAAACTTTTGTAGGTAACTCATTATGCAAAAAAATAGCTAATAAGAATAATCATCTTTATCAACAGTCATTAGATGCCCACTGCTGATAAAAGCCTCTTCTCACACGGAGAAGGTTTGAGCATTAGTCACCACGCTTGCTCAATGCGGGTTGGCGATTTCAAACTTATAATTAGAAATTATAGGTCCAGGTTTCCTCACGATGTTTTCCTTCACCGTTTGTCAGTGGTGTCTAAATAATCTTAGAAAGTTAAAATGATATTAAATACCTATCACAATAAAAGGCATTTCTTATTAACAAAATCATTACCTTTTATGATTATTATACCAGACAGTAATTTAAATGATTACTTGTTCCTATATTACGTATAATACGACAGTACGTGTCTCCAAGGTTTTACTGCGAAATACCGTTTATTTTAACGTTCAAATGAAGCTTTTAACAAAATTTCACTGCGAGGGATTATTTTGTTGAAAACAAAGTACATATATATTTACGGAATGATATTTTGTTGAAATTCATTATTGTATGTGAATATATTATTTTAATCATAATATTCTATTTATTTAATGAGTATAAATTAAAATCACAGACATCATTAAACGGATATAACGTAGCGATGCAAAAAGATTTAAGTTAAATATTTTTAATATAATTTTTGTAATATAATACATACTTAACTTATAAATGGAATGTGGTTCGACAACCAATAACCAACCAACGAATGTTAGTTGGTAGTCCCTACCATATAAATAAAGTAATATTATATATAAGCTTTATTAATAATATAAATATAAAGGCGATCAATTTCGATCGGGGGTTGCCGGGGCTCCGGCTCGAATAGCAGGAGTAGAACAGGGTGGTTTTTTAGTCAGTAAGAGTCTGACACTCCCTCTCGCCTAACCCAAGGCGGGAGAAGTCATTGAATGATATGCCCCGCTCAAAAAAGAAGTGTAACTGGACTATCCCACTACGCAGAAGATAATTATTATAGTGCATAAGTATGTCCGCAAACATAGGTGCATTCTCTGTTCCCTCAATCTCTGAACCCAATGAGACGGCGGACCGACATGACCGAAGATAGGTGAGGCGCAGGACCAACACTTTTAGTAGTTTTCCAAAGCACGGGCATGGAAATACTTCCAAATTTCCTGAATCTGGACTAATGGTAATTTTACTAGTCCGCTGTGGGAATCGAAAATTAGTACTACATAAAAACACATATTTATACAATGGTCTCCTTTACCTACATAAAACGTTTGCCATAACCTCCACAGATAAATAAATAAATCAATAAATAAAATAGTGCAAGTCATCCCCTTAACAAATCGCGTGTGCCTATCACGAACCGACTGCATAGTTGTATTGCCTAAGTATTCTGAATCAGTACCTTCGTTTATGAGTGGAAGCACTATTACTAAACATCGTAATATGATATGATGCAAACTTTTTATTATCATTATTTGCAATTGTATTTATTTATGCCTTTAGTAGCTTCTGCCAGCGACTTTGCTCGCGTTCTTAATGGTAAAAAGCCTATATTCTACTTCAGACCATAATCTACCTCTGTTCCCAATGTCAGCCCGGTCACATCAGCCGTTTTGATGTGACTAAATAACAAACACACAAACTCATATATTTTCAAATTTATAATTTCGGTTCAAGCTAATTTCAACCATATTGGCCCTACGGTTACAGCGCAATGTCCATTGCAGGCTACCTAACATTCGATAAACTTAAATTTGCGTTGGAACCTTGGTACAGTAACTGTGTCTAGGGATTGAGCCGCACAATTAAGTTTGTTATTAGAATATTGCCAGTAAGGAAGGTGATTAGACACATAAGAAAACATAAAATGAAAACTCTTATCGACTGCCTCGTTGGCCGAGTGGTCGTAAGTGCGACTGCCTGGAAAGGGGTGTCGGGTTCGATTTCTGGGTCGGGCAAAGTATTACTGAGTTTTTTTAAAAATTCTCAGTAGTAACACGGAGTCTGGAATTGTGCCCGGTATATGGCAATAGGCTCACCCCCTATTACAAGGGACTCATAACATAAATAGTGAAAAGAGGGTGTTACATTGTACAGTGGCATAATGTGCACCTCTGCATACCCCTTAAACTGTCAAACACCAAGCGGTCACCGGTGACCGCAACCTATTGTTCTATAATTGTGTCTATAATGACGGTACTTGACGAGTTAAAGGATAAAAGGAGTAATGTTGTGTGACATAACTAAACCTTTAGGGCCAACTTAAGCTTTTTTACTTAAATACTACATCTATAGCAATAGCAATCACATTGTCCAGAATGTTATTCAATTTATATACCTCGTAAAGCCTCCAAAAAACCTTGATTATAATCTAAAAACCAAATATTTTTAACACTTTTCTTCTCTCCATCCACAGCGGACTACATACATCCGTGCAATAACACAGAGCCAGCATGTCTAATAAAAGCGACTCAGGATGCAATACCACAGTTCACCAAGGGTCTACCGGATTTAGGAGTGCCGCCACTGGATCCCTTCGTCATTGATGAGCTGCCCATACAACTGCCCGGTATCAAGGTCACGTTTTACAACGGAAAAGCTACTGGTCTGAGAAAATGTCAAGTTTTGAATGTCGAGTAAGTCGAAATTATTTTTATTTTATTAAACAATAAGTAAATTATAAATATAATAATACAAAATTGCATTTTTACACGTCTAAAGTAAAATTTAAATGAGTATAATACTTTTCATTTACAAAATCATTTCTATTCGCATACATATTTTCTTTCCGGGACCTTTTTTAACATGAAAACATAAAACATGAAAAAATATATCTTACTAATCTTATCCTTACTTTCTTACTTCCTTACTAATATTATAAATCGGAAAGTGAGTTTGTTTGTTTGTTTGTTTGTTCCGCGTTCACGCCATAACTACTAAACCGATTGCTTTGAATTTTTGCAGACGTATAGTTAGAAGTCTGGATTAAATAATAGGGTACTTTTTATCCCGGAAAAATTAGATATTCTCGAGGAAAAGCAAAAGTAATAGTATAGATGGCGCTGTGTGTATTGGTATATGTCACATTGGCTTTTTATCCTTTTGTGACGCGAGCGAAGCCGCGGGTATAAGCTAGTATAAAGTAAAATTTTAAGTCGTCCACCCCACTAACTTCAATTTGTATATAAAAAATTAAAGCAGCAGATTGGCCAGGTAGGTACTTAAAATACAAAATAACAAAATACAATGGAAATATACGAAACCTTTTCTATGCAAAGATTTAGAGAAAATTGTTCAAAACTCTTGGCCTGTGCCCTGAATCACATTTGAACAAAGAAACGATTATATCCGCTTCAAATGGCTCCAAAGCTTTGGAGATTATCTTTGAAATTCTTGCGAAGATGCTTTTGTCTACGTAAAGACATTTGAAGGCTATGGTATGCCACAGCCATTAGCTTGTGTGCTATTATATGAAAGTTGATCCCAGGATCATCAATCTGAGCAAAAATACAATATTCCACTCTAAACAGTAATTGCCTCTTGATTTGCTTCAGAAATAATTTGAAATGTCCCATATTTACGGTGTTTAGGATTTAAATAGATTATTTAATTTTCTTCTTGCTTAAGAGTTTATCTTGTGTAGTGGTACTTAAAGCTCCCTCTCACGAGTTACATTTCGTAGCGATGCTATTGCAATGCTGTCGTACTTAGCATCGACATAGTCGCGAAGTGCATACAAAAGTAACACAAGTTAGTAGCGATGCAGTCGCGCTTTTTAATCGCGCGAGAGCATCACTTCAAAAATTAGCTCCTGGGCGAGCGGCCTAAATAGTCTCAATATTTATGGTTATATAATATCACAACTTTTATCCCCGAAGGGGTAGGCAGAGGTGCACATTACGGCACTTAATGCCACTGTGCAATGTAACACCCACTTGTCACTACTTTATATTATGAGTTCCATAGAAGGTGAGCCTATTGCCATTTACCGAGCACAATTCCAGACTCCGTGCAACTAGGTACTGAGAATTTTTCAAACCCAGTAATACTTTGCTCGATCCGGGAATTGAACCCGAGACCCCTTGCCCGGTATTCGCACTGGCGACCACTCAGCCAACAAGGCAGTCTTAGACTCAAACCCAGATCTACCAGAAAAATAAACTTATCGTAATATTGTAGGTACACAATGAATAAGTAAAGTAAGATGATTTGACTTAAATTTTAAGGGAAATTATAAAACACTAGCAGCCTGTCCCGGCTTCGCACGGGGTAGACAATTATTTATTTTTGGAAATTTGGATTGTTGTAGTGACATAACTACAATAGTTGGACATATGCTACCGCGGAGTTTTTTGTAGACATTATGATGTTCTTCAATATTGTTGTACATTATTTTGTTCTATCGCTAATAGTTTCGGCAGCGCATTCGACGAAAGATATTTTAATACTAATTTTTCTACACCTTTGGTTACATTGATCAAATTTTACCAAGGATCCCTAATTTTTTTCAAAATGAAATGTAGCCTATGTCAAATTGGAAGAATGAAGCATTCTATTGGTGAATGATTTTTTTCATACGGCCCAATACTTTTTGAGCCTATTCATTACAAACATACAAATATAGGTACAAATCTTTCCTCTTTATAATATTAGTGTAGATAGTATAGTATAGATTATAGAAAAGTCAATAATTCTGTAGCACGTAGAAGTTTTAACATTAAGTTGTATAATCTATAGTTTCTCTTCGGTTTTAATCGTGTCGCTGCAAACAGCAAACAGTAAGAGTATTTAAGTCTTACTGTTGTTCCAAGTTAGTATTAAACTGGACTTGGGGCGCAAAGTTCAGTGCAATGGTATCGCGTTGTAGAGGACTGTTACAGAGATAGTATGTTACTATACTGTTGTAGAGAAAACAGATCCATAAATACAATATGTGTGCATGTATCTTACATTATTGTTTGTATCTTATTGTGGATGTATAACGCACAAATTAAAAAAAGCTTAAACTGTCAAACACCAAGCGGTCACCGGTGACCGTAACCTATTGTTCTATAATTGTGTCTACAAAGACGGTACTCGACGAGTTAAAGGAAATTTTCATGATTGCTATGAATAACCTTAGAGGTATTTTTTTCACATTAATATCAGATACAATTATCTATGTAACCATTATTACCTTTAAGGTTAACCTTAAAGCTATGACAAAAACCTTTCTCAATGTCACACGCCACCATGAACCGACCATGATGACAAGTCAGCCATTTTACAAACTACTGTCAATTTAGTCTAATTTAGTTTTATCGCGCGTCGCAATCATAATACTACTTAAAAGTAGCGCTTACCTAACTCAGTGATTACTGTGAAAACGTTGCAACACCGCAATATGCGGTTTATTCTCACGCCAGCTGTGTATTGTCGAAACCTTTTGTCTTCGGTACTAAATGTATGATAGACAAAAGGGGTTTCAAGGATGACAATTTTATGTATGACTGGTTTTATTGTTTCATTGATATTTTTTTAAAAAACGTTGCCCCTTGTTAGGATTTTCTCCTGTGTCGTGGGTGCGTTTACAAACATACAAAGAGTTGCACCGAGCGTGAATCGATCCCGCTACACGTTGCGCGGCAGCCGGTTGCTCAGCCACCGCACCAACAGTGCAGTCGATCTGTCAATTAAAACTCTGTACTTTATTTATAACTAGCGACCCGCGTTCGCATGGGTGCAATAAATGCATGCATAATTATACATATAAACCTTCCTTAAGAATCACTCTATCTATTAAAAAAAAACCGCATCAAAATCCGTTGCGTAGTTTTAAAGATCTAAGCATACATAGGGACAGACAGACGGATCGTTAATGGGACAAGACAAGCAACTGTAGATACAGTAGATACAACCATGAAAACACCGGAACATTGAAGTCCGGCGCGTCCCAGAGACATGAGTAACTGTCTTGGTTCCCGCAACGAAGTGAATCAGAAGATATTATAAGAGGAGAAGAAGAAAAAACTATAGTTAGATAGACGGCGGATAGCGACTTTGTTTTATACCTCTACTATGTAGTGAAAAGGAAATAGACGGTGGTGTGTAGTATTATTACGGCATATTAAACCTTAACATGTCCCAAGATTGTGTGAGCAAAACATTTACGAAACGGTTTAAAAAAAAAAACAGCCAAAGCTATGTATTATATAATTTCCTTTATGTCTATTAAGATAGGATTACACATAAATTCCATCATGTTTTAATTTTAATACCACGTAATCAGAATACAGGAAAATACTTTAACAAGCCTTGTAACAAAAAAACAGCGTTGATCAAAGAAATTTCTAAGGAACTAGAAATGTTTAGAAAATCGACCCTTCAAACATTGCTCAAATCTTCCAAGAAAAGGGCTTGGCATCTTAAGATTTAGAAGATACTGACACTTCCCAACCTTTTCAAGGATAGACGTAAGAAAATTTATAAGTAGGTATAACAGAGCCTTTCTGGAACGTAGTATGAAGCGGTTGTCGTCGAGTAAAAGGGTATGACATATCTAAATTGTTTTTCCTATTGTTATATGGCTGAAGGTTTTGAGATGCGAGATAAAAAGGCTTACGCAAACATTGTATTTGTAAATGATGACTGTTGTTTAAAACTTTTGCTTCGTCAAATTTTATCGTGTGTGTGAAAAGGTCTATTACTAAATGTTGGCAAAACGTGACAAAGTTTTGGAGAAACAGATAAAACTATTGGTGAACAAATTACTAATTACTAACGCTTTACAGTTAAAGAAAAATTGAGCTAGAAATTATAACGACATTTTTTTCTCTAGATTTGTTTTCAATTGACTGCCTCGTTTGCCGAGTAGTCGCAAGTGCGACTGCAGAGCAAAGGGTCTCAAGTATGATTCCCGGGTCGGACAAAATTACTGGGTTTTGAAAAAATTCTCAGTGGTAGCACGGAGTCTGGGATTGGCACGGCACTTATGACATAAAATAGAGTAATGTAGTTGCTACATAGTACAGTATTAAGTGCCGTAATGTGCATCTCTTCCGATTCCTCCGGGGATAAAAGGCGTGATGACATGTTATGTTGTTTTCAAATATTTTATTTGTAACGTGGACCTCATTATTTGCTAAGAATGATGTCTTTGTATCAATTTGTGTCATATGTAAAAAAAATCCATACTATAATCTGTTATGTTGTATTTTTCAGGGCATACTTAGAGAAGAATATATTCAATTTGGACGTGCGATGCAATATAACTATCAAGGGCAAATACACAGCAGTAGGGAGGCTACTGCTTTTCCCGATCAACGGTGAAGGTGACTCTAAAATCAAAATAGGTGAGTAGTCATTAGATATTCGTCTAATATAACGTCAAGTTTACTGTTAGACGCAGAACTTAAAAAAATCGAAGAATTTTCTTAAGATCCTCATTAAATATACAATTAGGTATAAATTTTACAAATAACAGAAGGTTAAGAAAGATAAGGATAAGTCTTTTGGGGCACCCTAAAAGCGTAGTTTTCAACTAACTTAACTATTATCTATAGTTTCACTCTTATTTATTATATTATAATGACTGTTGTTTTATTATTTCCAAGAATTTCAAGCTTACTATAGAAGCAAAAAACGAAATCAGAAATAAAAAATTGTTCCAGAATTACATCAACGACACGTGTAAAGGACGAATAGTCGAACATATTTTTTGTAGCCACATATTTCTTGAATCACAATTCAAACCACACACGCAACACAGAAATAAATAGCAAATATCAATGTAACGCCTTTATGTTTTATAAGCGGATACAATGCCAACTCGCACTGAAATAGAAATCGTGTATTCGGAATATTTAATACCGAAAGTTGTTGCGTTTGTGCATTTAGTTCATGATTTCATGGAAAAAGCAATTGTAATTCATATACGTCGTTTGATTTCTGATGTGATTAATATTCAATCAATAGAATGCCTGGTGTTCCTGGAAAGGGAAGATAGTGCTATTAATAGTTAAATCGGTTGAAACGTTATTTGTTTCATTATTCAAATGCTGACTATCAAATATTTATTGAACTAAGAATGTTTTGGTTAAAATAGTTATGAATTGAGAATTAAATTCAATGTCGTGCTATTTTTCATTCCCCATCTAGATAAATGTCAACAAACAGATATTGAATTAAAGAAAATACATACTTGGAACTCATTCTTATAGAAGTTATTTGTATTTACTGAAATCAAAATGTCGTGATCGTCTACTACTTAACTCGTTGAGTACCGTCATTATTAAAGAACAATAGGTTGCGGTCACCGGTGTCCTCGCGGTGTTTGACAGTTTAAACTGTTAATGAAATAGAATCATCAAACATAATACAATTACTTAAATGAACTACATAAGGCCTAACATCGTTCAAGGATGGATGTGTAGCAACTGTTATGCCCTTAAGTCTCGTACTCACGGGAAATTGAGAAATCCCTTTCTTAATGTTCACTTACGCAGCCCAAGGAATTCTTGTGCAAAATTTTATGCTTTTAGACACGTCGGTTAAGGTTGCTTGTTGGTTAATTTGAATGATTTATAGGTAGGCAAGCAACTAATTACATACAACATGTAACTTAAATAACGCACATCCTGAAAATAGTTTGTTCAGAATCATTAACTGAATCGATTTATATAATTTTTAGTATAGGTAATTTTCTATCCCAAAAATAATTAAAACTACGGAAATTATTGTCATACTAGCTTTAACCCGCGGCTTCGCTCACGTCAAAAAAGGATAAAAAGGACCCTATCTGATATATACCACAGCGCCATCTATACCAATACTTTGGTTTTCCCTCGGGAATATCAATTTTTTCTGGGATTAAAAGTACCTACTCTATTATTTAATCCGGACTTCGAACTTTACGTCTGCAAAAATTCAAAGCAATCGGTTTAGTAGTTACGGCGTGAAAACGGAACAAACAAACAAACTCACTTTCCGATTTATAATATTAGTAAGGATTAACCCTGTATTCTTAAAACAAATCGAAATAGACAGTACCTAAGTCAAAGCAATAAGACTTTTAAAATCGCAGTTTTATTTGTATTCATACAAATTCTATCATTCAATACAAAATAAAGAAAAATAAACATTATGACAAGACCAGTAAGGATGCATATACATGTTAAATTAAAAATTTAGTGTATGTATTATGATTATAACATAATATTGTATTTAGGGTGTTTGAGGGTGTGCGTTAATTACGTTACATGTTGTATAATGTAGTGTGTAAAGTAGATGGAATATAAATGAATAAATAAAGCTACTAATCCATCCACATAACAAATATGATTTTAATGGGTAATCGTTTAGGTGTGGAACAAGGCACCAATTCGCGTAGTGATAAATGTTCATACTTTCTCAGTGTGAGAAGAGGCCTTTACTCAGCAGACAATAGAAATTGGTAACATGCTGATTGACAATGATTTTGTTTCTAAATTTTATCTCATGTATCCGATAAACCTAACGTTATAACTTCTGATTTGTTATTCTAGGCTTTTATATAATCATTTATTCCAATACAAACTTAAATAAAATTAAAACTAACTATTACTAAATTAAATATATACAGTTTAAATTAAAAATTATTTAAAAACAGCTATTTACATTATAATATATAACTATTTACATTTATATATAAAGCATCGAAAAATTCATCCGCATCGACGTCAGTGGGGAAAGAACCCAGAAGGCTGGCAGCATTGCCACGATGTATGTTAGGTGTCATGTGTATGCCAACTTGTATGTTTGTAAATGCACTCACGACACAGGAGAAAATCCTAATGTGGGACAATGTTTTTTTTTAAAATTCTTCTTTCATTGTTTAGCGATTTGTTGACTAATTTTTCATAAACCTATTCCAGTCAACTCAATCATCAAACTGAACATCAACACGAGGTACTTCAAGGACGCTGACGGTCGTGATCACTTCGGGATCAAGAACTATAAGTACACGTTCGATTACGGCGAGAGAATCATTTATACGATCAACAACCTCTTCAAAGGCAACCCTGAATTAAGTAAGTACTAGACTTCAGTTTTATAGGTACCCTATAAAACCTGAGTCACTTGATAAATTCTTAAATTTTGGTCACTTAAAACCACACATTATTTCACTTGAATGGCTACCGAGTCTCAAATACAGTGTTGTCTATTATACTGCCAGTGTCGAGTTATGTTAGGAAAGTATTTCATTTGACATTTGTGTTTAAAAAAATAATGTCTACAAAAATCTAAAAAGGACTGGTATGAGCACAGCATAATTATATACGTAGAAAAAGACCTAACAACAAAAAAAATAAATTAAAGTATTTATTCTATTCACTTTGAAAATAAAATTAAATTCAGAATGTCCCAAAGCAAATGTCATAATTAAGTCATTAGTTATTTTTCTTAGGACAGCTTATTAAACGCAAATAGGAGTTTGAGTTTAACAGGACTAATGTTTAAGAGCATTCGTTAAGGAAGTGGACTTTAAATTATAAAAATGGCGTCACACTCCAAGAACTCCCGCCATTGTATTTTCCCTGCTATATAAATTTAACTGTCGAAAATTTTACACTAGAGTAAGCTCCCTATTTCATTTTTACTTCTACATAAAAGAATGCACATTATATTTTGCCTGATGTTTTCATAAGAGCAAAATTCTTTAATGACAGTTATTTAGAAGTTGCCAACTGTAATTTAGACTTATTGTTTGGACAATTAGAGGTTAAAAAGCATTAAATTAAGTATTGCATATTTCGATATGCGCACTTTTTAAATAATTAAATTCATGATTGGCGTGGTGTGAGTCATCCAGTGTTACCAATGTCCAGTAGTAAATAGAAAAGAGCTGATGATAATCTTGGACTATTATAATGTTCAGCGTATGTCTGACCCATAATGATAATATTATCTTACAAAGCTGGAGAGTTTGTTTGATCGCACTCATCTCTGAAACTACTACTGGTCCGATTTGAATAATATTTTTTATGTAGGATAGCATTTTCAAAGTTAAAGTCATAATCATTTATTTTAATTAGACCAAGAAGGCACTTTTGAACGTCAACCAAAAATTAAAAGTGGAGCTATTTGCTCATTTCTATGGAGAAGAACGAGCAAAAAACTCCATAGGTTACTCTTTTTCAATCAGGTTCACAATGCAATTCTATAGTAACATAATTTTGTTATTTGGATTGTGCGAAAACAATGTAACAATAAAATCCAGTCAGTGATCGAAAAAGAAAATAACCTTAAGGCCAATAAATAATACAGACTGAAGCTGACCAGTCCCAGTTGACGGCGACCGTTCACGAACATGACACATACACCAGCACCGCCCAACTCAACCATATTGTAGGGAATCGAGAGGGAATCGAGCATTAATTGAGAAAGGATAGAAAACACAACACTACGACCAATAGGAGTTAACCAGAGAAAATGAAACCGCGCGACAGAGAGTGATGTAAATTTCATACCAAATATTCTCAATTCTATTAACAATTTTGTCACATTTTCCAGGTAACACAGTATTACAGTTCCTGAATGAAAATTGGCGGATAGTCACAGAAGAATTTGGGCAACCCGTGGTCGACTATGCTTTGAATGTTACCGTCACTACAGCCAAAAAATTCTTCGACGCCGTACCTTATGACGAATTGCTATATGTGCCTATACCTAAATATTAAAACGAGCTTAAATTATTAGACTTATTACTCTACAAAATCTTTAAAGATATTGTATGTTTTTCTTAGTGAAATTTGAGAAAATGGAAACTTGCTTTCGATTATGCGAAACGTATTTACTTATAAGTAAGGAGCCTGAATTGCTTAGGTATTTGTTATTTATATGTCCGTATTCTAAGGGGTCAAGGTACTCAGATTAACGAACCATTTTTTCTTGAATCAAAATGTAATTGATATATACTCGCTATCTACGTGACAAAAAATTTAGCTTTGAAATAACTTATTATTAGCAGCAATTTATTCAATTAACTAAATCACGGGTTACTCACGTGAAGATACTGAGAAAATCTCTACTAGTTTCAACTTAATCTTGCAATTTATAAAATGTGCATAATACTATCAAAAACTAACAATCCAGTTTACTATAATTTTTCAAATGTTTTAATTAATAGTTCTCGTCTATTGTTTTTTGTTTCGTGTAAATAGAAAAGACTTTATTTTTTTGTAAATAGTATTGTACATTTTATTGTGACTGTATACAGAAATGTACAGATTTAGGTACTCGAGAATTAAATTATTTTTATTATTTTACCTTGACGGGTAAATATTCTTTTTTGTTGTTTTATATCAAATCCACATATTTTTCCCTTAGACTTCATCTTGTGTAAACATTTTCTTAGAACTAGAGTATAAGTTACTATTAAGTATAAACTGTAAAGAAATGAGGCATAAAAAGAGCTTTAAAATTACAAATACTGTTAATTAATATTAATATGTATGCGTAGGTTATATTTTAAAGTATTATCTTATCATATCATAAATAACCACCATATAAATACGGTCCACTAAAAGACGTAAAAACTATATATAAAAAAAGGTCGTTTATAAATCTGAACTGTAATTTAAATGTTAAGATTCAATATTACATAAGTTTATTACGCTGTAATAAGATGTTTTGTAATAAAAAGATTTTTATGTATTATCTGTGTCTATTTCATTGACAGTGCTGTACAGTAATTATAATGTTACGTACAAAACATAGGAGCATCGATTACTGTGTGTGTTTATAGCTATTCGTTTGTTGCAGGCGTTCGTGGATTGTTCATTCTTTTACATATTTGGTACCAATAACCACAGAATATACAATGCCTATAACTAGATCGAATATTTATTATTTTTTTTATGGCATAGGTCAACAAACGAGCAGACGGATCACTTTATAGGAAGCAATAGACTGCACGGTTGGTGCGGTGACTGGGCAAATGGCTGACGCGCAATAACTAACTAAATAGTATTGAGTTTATCTTCATATTCTGTACTCTGAATGCTATTTGAACAGCTACGGTAGGGGTTGTATAGTTTTGACATTGAACTGTTGAAGTGGTGGATGTGGTTGAATAATAGATAATAGCTTGTTTTATTTCGTAGTTTTATTATAAATCACACAGAAAGCACATGATGGGCGCCATGCAGACGACAAAAGGAAGAACACAGATGACATATCGACGTCTATGAGAAACTCGCCAACTTGACACTAGATGGCGCTACTTATATTATTTAACTTAAGATTATAATATTTACCTTATTACAACATGAACAATAATTGAGTTTTCATTGGATTGCAATTGCATTACATTGACATTGAGATTGGTTTCAAGAGTAAGCACCCTGGCGGGACACATGCCACCAGAGGAGGTTCAAGTGCGTTGCCAGCCTAATAGAGACTAAGGATTTGGAGATTGAACATGATGGGTGAAGATCAGGACTAAACACTCACTTAATTGCGTTATGAACGACTGTTTTTGGTTAAAGACTTTTGGTATAATAGAATATTCGACGAGAAAAATGATCCTTGTTTGTACCGATAACTTTTATAAACCTTAATAAAAGTACCAAAATTCAAATATAAACGTTTATCCGCTTGATACAAAGTTTATATTCTGTTACGAATAACGTTGGAAACAAGAACATATGTGTTAGTATACCGGGTAGTTCCGAAAACGGTTTGCATTTAGTTCCAACACTGATTGTGTGGTACAGGTCCTGAATGTATAACTAAGTGTCTCTCAATTAATTCCAATTCCTGGTACGCGCAAGAACATAAATTTAAATCTATATCTATACTAATATTGTAAAGAGGAAAGATTTGTACCTATTTTTGTATGTTTGTAATGAATAGGCTCAAAAAGCACTGGGCTGATTTAAAAAAATTTTTCACCAACAGAATGCTACATTCTAGCAATTTGACATAGGCTACATTTAATTAGGGATCCTTTGTAAAATTTGAACAATGTAACCGAAGGTGTAGAAAAATGAGTCTTAAAATGTCTTTCGTCGAATGCCCTGCCGAAACTATTAACGATAGAACAAAATAATGTACAACAATATTGAAGAACATCATAGTGTATACAAAAAACTCCGCGGTAGCATATGTCCTACTATTGTAGTTATGTCACTACAACAATCCAAATTTCCAAAAATGAATAATTGTCTACCCTGTGCGAAGCCGGGACGGACTGCTTGTTGATAATAAATTTCGTTTGTTTTTGGTGTTTGGTGAGAATGAATTAGTTTTGGTAGTGATTACGCTGTTACAACATAAAGTTATTCAATTAGATATGTATTTTATTTGGGTATTTTTTTAAGGGATAAGCCCGTAAACGAGCATACGGATCACCTGATGCCAAGCAATCTGGCCGGCCATGGACACCCGAAACACCAGATATGTAGGTGTTAACAATACATTACCGGCCTTTAAGGTATTAGGAATTTGAGGATTGACTGCCTCGTTGACCGAGTGGTCGCAAGTGCGACTGCCGGGCAAGGGGTCTCTGGGTTTGATTCCCGGGTCGGGCAAAGTATTACTGGGTTTTTAAAAAATCTCAGTAGTAGCACGGAGTCTGGAATTGTGCCCGGTATATGGGCACGTATACTAATAACATAAATGAAGTAAAGTGGGTGTTACTTCTGTGTGCACCCCTGCCTACCCCTTCGATGATAAAAAGCGTGATGTTTTGTTATGTTATGTGAATTTGAGGATTGTTAGGGATATGAAGATTAAGGAGACTGGGGGGGGGGGCTAATGGGCCTCCAATAACCTCACTCACACGACGAAAGACAACGAAAGTGCTGCTTCACGTCCGTTTTCTGTGGGGCCGTGGTATAATTTCAGTCGAGCAAGCCCATTCGTGTAAAAAATAGAAAGCAAAGAATATGGTGATATTCATTATTTGTCTTTTTATTATTAGCAAACAAGTCTGTCAAACGAAAGCTAACCTAAAAAAATCAATCCCAGATTGATATCATAGGGAAATTCGCACTCCCATACAGTTTTTGATATTTTGTTCAGTTGGCACACAATAACGAGCATTAGATCAAACTTTTGTAAAAACAAAGAAAAGATGTGGGAACAATGTAAGTAAAAGAACAAAAATATGAGTATGGCTACGGAATCTTAAGTGAACAAGTCAGTGATATTTTTGTAAACGTTAGGTACTCCAAAGACCAAGTTACCTTTATTAAATTCTATGCGAACATAAAGTAAGGTCCTGAAATATTCGAAAGTATTTTTGGTAAATTATACTTCGTATTACTCGTAAATACTAGAGATTTTGTTTCTAGATTTCTATGAAATACGAAACAGGACAATAAGCGGAGTATTTATGAAAATTAACTTAAAATCTTAAACTGACAAGGGCTTTGTGTACCTACCTTAATTTGAGGAAAATTTTCTTCTTACTGGAAGTCAGGTATTTTTAGAAGTATATTTAGTCTTAGTGATGATCACTCATCATGGAAAAAATGGAATATATTGTAAAACCAGTGACAAAGTCAAAGTCAAAGCATTTATTTCAATTAAACCATAGTTTGGTACTTTTGAAACGTCAACAAATACAAAATAAATAATAGTCTGTCAGTCAGTCCGTCAGTGAAGCTAGGTGAAGCTAGGTGCTCATTCCAAAACGTAGATTCGAATGGAGAAGAACGAGCAAGAAACTCCATTCGTTACTCTTTTAAAAAAGTATGTTCTACAATGTCTCTGATACATATTTCAATATTGTACGCATATGTAAGAACAATGCAAAGACACGCTTGACGCATTATACTAATAACTTACTAAAATAAAAATAATAAAGATCTTAAGTCTAACATGGTGCTCACATATGCATACTGACAATCCATAGAAATAGTGCTTCTATACAAGAAAAAGGAAACTCTTTGTTTCAATAAAGAAAAAATGCTCGATGCCATAAGGAAACTAGATTGTCTACATTAGAATTAAAGTATTAAATTATGTATTATATTACCTACTATTGGAATTTAACTACTGACTACATTTGAGTATTGTCCAGTGGAGCCGAACCAACATGCTGCCAAGCATTCTTATCTTCAAGATAATCTGTCAGTGTGTAGTAAGCTTGATTACATAATTCGCGCTTAATATATGTTTTAAATTTACTTTCATTGAGATCTAGTATGCTATTTGGTATTTTATTATAGCATTTAATACCTAACCCCATAAAGGATTTCTGTACTTTGGACAGTCTGAATTGCGGTATAGCTAACTTATTTTTGCCTCTAGTATTAAAATTGTGTCTATCGCTTCTTTTTTCAAACAATTGCCTATTTTTCCTTACATACATTATATTTTCATATATATATTGACAGGGCACCGTTAAAATATTTATCGTTTTAAACAATTCTCTCAACGATTCGCAACGGCGTAAGTTATATATTGCTCGGATAGCCCGCTTTTGCAGAATAAATATTGATTCTATTTCTGCAGCTCGACCCCACAACAAAATGCCGTACGACATAATGCTGTGGAAATAACTAAAATAGACAAGCCTAGCTGTATCCACGTCCGTGAGCTGTCTAATCTGTCTAACTGCAAAAGCAGCTGAGCTCAATCTCCCCGAAAGCGCCTTTATATGCGGACCCCATTGTAGCCTATTGTCTAACGTAATGCCTAAAAATACTGTCTCGTCGACAAATTCTAACTTTTGACCGTTCAAAACAATATCACAATCGTTACTACGCACGTTTGGTAAACTGAATTTAATACATTTTGTTTTTTTTTCATTAAGTGCTAGATTATTAATGGTAAACCAATTATGCACTTGAAGAATGGAGCTGTTTACGTCGTCAAGATTATTTGTACGTCGATCTACTTTAAAAATTAATGATGTATCATCTGCAAAAAGCACCATTCTTGGTTCATTTTTAAATATAAATGGCAAATCATTTATATAGACTAAAAAGAGAAAGGGACCCAATATTGAACCCTGAGGAACGCCCATATTCATCCCAGAGCCCTGTGAGTTAATACCGTTAACATGAACCTTTAACTGTCTTTCTTCTAAATAAGATTTCATAAGACGGAGCGCAGAGTTTCTTATCCCGTAATGATCTAATTCAATCAAAATCAA